ACCATCCAAACCCACCTGAGCAAGCTAATCAAGGTCTTACTACAGTAGGGCTGTTTCTCAATATGCGTTCTTCAGCGGTCTTGCGTCCTCGTGTTCTCGTGCAACGTCATCATCAGCTGCCTAAGTTCAGTTCCAATACTCAAGACCGCAAGTATGGAGGACGCGTGAAATTTCCCGGATGTGTTCTTGATATCGAGGACGCACCGATGCAGACTTGAGCACCGAACTCGCTCTGGAAGTCCCAGAAGTCATTGCGACTGGAGGTGGGAAGCGCTGCATTTTATTTAGATTTATTATTCAAGTTCAGAGATATCACTTACAGTATTTACCTCAGGAGTTTCCCTAAATGAAACGGTAAAAGTAAACATTAACATGAATATCTTAATAAAGGAATAAACACATCAAGGGTGTTTGTTTGCTGAAAATCGTATTAAAATTGGTTTTATTTATATTGTGCAGAGTATATTATATATTTTGAAGAAGGGGGAAACAATAAATCGTTGTATGATTGCTGTAATGTTTAAATAATTTCCATTTAAAACGCGTGAAGGTCATGTGACCATCAGGAAGAACGCAGCATCCCATTTCTCAATGGATACGTTCTCTTCCCTCGCGGTCTCCTGAGTTCGTTCTTGGGGGACACCTGGCAAGATCGGTCTCCACAAGAACACAAGTCCGTTCTCTGTGTTCTTGGAATTGAGAAACAGCCTTTGATTAGGGTTGGAGCTAAAATCTGCAGGACATTTTAGCACGTAACACATTTTCAAAGCAGAATACCTGACTTCAGCATTGTTTTTCAGATAAACAAGAATGTTCACTTAGCATGTTTCTTAAATATCTGCAAACATTTTATGTTATTTTTATGCTTTAGAAGAGTCAAACACTTACATGTAGCACCCTTAAACTAATAGTAGCCCTTAGTTAATGTTTGAGTTATATGTTGTTTACCCAGTTTACCCAATCATCTCTTGTGTCATGATGTCAACATTGAAACAGCCATGAATAAATAATAATAATATATAACTTTAACTTCTACAGCATCATATTTATCAGTCAGTTACTGTATCGTATACTTTTCACTGCATGTATGTGTGTGTGTTTGAAATACCTCTGTTATAACGGACTCCCAGTGTGACCGCACAGCCGAACAGTGCAAGAAGTGAAGCAAGAAGCAGACCGGCCAACACTACCTCCAGCTGAGTCCTCCGGCCCAGTGGACCAAACAACTGAATACCACCCTTACGGAAACCCACCTAAAAAAAACCAAAATCAATAAAAAGAGTCAAATATTGATCATGAAGTTTTTTTGGCAGCTGTTTGCTGGTTAAACTTTAAACTATATACACTCACTGGCCACTTTATTAGGTACACCTTATTAGTACCGGGTTGGAGCCCCTTTTGCCTTTAGAACTGCCTTAATCCTTTGTGGCATGGACTCTACAAGGTACTGGAAATGTTCCTCAAGGGATTTTGGTCCATTATGACATGACAGCAATTTTTATTTCTAAATCGAAGCAACTTAAATCCAAATAAATCACATCTTTGGGATCAAGAAAACTGTCAATGAAACATATGAGGCATTCAGTTCAAGTATTTACTGTAAATAATATGCTGTACTAAACAGAAACAAATTATAATATAATAAAAATTGTCTATATGTATCTTTAGTGATTTTTTTTTGCTTATTTAGAGGTTTTTGCAAAAAAAAAAAAAACAAGTGGATTTAGCTGGTTTTGATGCAAAACGAAAATCTACTTTCTTAAAATCTAAAAAATTGCCTAAAGTGACACTTTTGAAAATAAGTTATTTTATTTATTAGCTAATAACCTTTTCATTATCTAAAATGAAACTCCTAAACCCAATTATAGGAGCCTGAAAAAGAGGTCTGATGCAATTAGAGGGTTTTACATCTGAACTTTTAATATATTGGCTCAGAAAATGTTTATATGGGCGTAAATTAGGGAGTTGCTACATTTATTTAAAAAGTCCACTGGATGCTCACTTATATTGTCAATACATCAGAATTTCTAAAGAAATAAGCAAGAATGAACTACTTTAGAATCAATTAGCCCAGGGGTTCCCAAACTTTTCAGCACACGACCCCTAAAATAACAATGCCAGTGACTCGCGACCCCCAATATCCTCTGAGGTGGTTATAAATACAGAAAACTTGCATTCAATGGTGCACACACACACCAATATACCCAAGTCTATTCTTCGTTTAACTTTTTTTTTATGTATGTCAGTGCTGTAAATGGGCCAGAAAGTTTAACCTGGTGTTATAAAATCAATCTGCTGCATCTGACGCTATTGCTGTGTCTTTAATATAATGTATTTACCCCAGGGGTCGCAATCCAATAGAACAAGTAAATAAGCTACTATAGTAACTATTAACAGCTGTTTTTTTTCTCTTCAGTTGGTTATGGATAAAATATGGTAATTCGTATGGCCTAATAATAATAAGTAGATTTTTGGAAATCACCAGGCGACCCCCCATTGTTCCGCGACCCCTCAAGGGGTCCCGACCCCCACTTTGAGAACCACTGAACTAGCCGGCAGCTAGCTCTCTACAACTCTCACATGGTCGCCCACTGAAGCTAAGCAGGGCTGCACCCGGTCAGTACCTGTATGGGAGACCACATGGGAAAGCTAGGTTGCTGCCGGAGGTGGTGTTAGTGAGGCCAACAGGAGGCATCCAACCTGCGGTCTGTGTGGGTCCTAATGCCCCAGTATTGTGACGGGGACGCTATACTGCTCAGTAAGCGCCGTCTTTCGGATGAGACGTTAAACTGAGGTCCTATCGCTCTGTGGTCATTAAATGTGGGCATCCTGGCATAATCTGTCCACTGGCCTCTGTCTTCTGGCCTGATAACCCTCCCCATAAAATAATTGGCTTCATCACACTGTCTCTTCTCTACCAATCAGCTGGTGTGTGGTGTGCGGTCTGGCTGCTGCACACTGGTGGTGGATGAGGAGATTCCCCCTATATTAATAATAATTAATAATAATTCCTTACATTTATATAGCGCTTTTCTGGGCACTCAAAGCACTTTACACAATGGGGGTGGGTCTCCTCATCCACCAGTATGCAGCATCCACCTGGATGACGCGACGGCAGCCATTTTGCGCCAGACCTCACACCATACACCAGCTGATTGGTGGAGAGGAGGCCATGATGGACAGAGGCCAGTGGGCAGATTTGGCCAGGATGCCGGGGTTAAACCCCTACTCTTTTCGAAGGACATCCTGGGATTTTTAACAACCACAGAGAGTCAGGACCTCGGTTTAACGTCTCATCCGAAAGACGGCGCTCACTGAGCAGTATAGAGTCCCCGTCACTATACTGGGGCATTAGGACCCACACAGACCGCAGGTTGGGCGCCCCCTGCTGGCCTCACTAACACCACTTCCGGCAGCAACCTAGCTTTCCCATGTGGTCTCCCATCCAGGTACTGACCGGGCGCAGCCCTGCTTAGCATCAGTGGGCGACCATGTGAGAGTTGCAGAGAGCTAGCTGCCTATGTGTAAAGTGCTTTGAGTGCCCAGAAAAGCGCTATATAAATGTAAGGAATTATCATTATTATTTATCAGACAACAAAGCCCTTGAATACAACAAACCCTGTAATTATGACTTTCAGAAACTTCTGACAGCATGTGAAGGCAGCATTACCATCTGAGACCATAGTGAGTAAACACAATGAATTAAAAAATCCGGCACCGCAGTTTTATCACTTTCCCTTAGAGCTGCTCACAAAGAAGATGCCGAACCTAATAAAATTGTTCATTTTTTCCCCTTATAAAAAAAACCTTGGTCTCATAGATTCTCATTAAAATTATTTTAAAAAAGAGCTTTGTCTTCCTGTGCAGAAACACCAAGAGCATTGCATAAGCTTAGTGCGATAAAATACACCGCATGTCTCTTAACATCATTCAACACCCAAAAGAACAAAGCGCAAGCTGCCTGAGGGATAACATTTCAAATACAAGCTTCGTTTCCTTGCTTCCATGGCAAACTGAGACGAGAGGTGTCAGATTTCTCGTTTGACGTAGAAAAACGAGCGGCGAATGAAACGGACTACATGAATCGATATCAAATGTCACTCACAATTCACCCCAGCCAATTCCCTAGAAATCTGACCTGCCGAAAGCTATCGCTTAAGCAAATCTCTACATCAGAAACAATGCTAGGAGAGCAGAAAAGTGACTGTTTCAATTTCTATTAAACTCATGCTGTCTTTGAGACTATTAGTCACACCAAAATAATTGTTCTCATCTAATGTGCATTTCATTAACTAAAAAAAATAAATAAAAAATCTACAAGCCGTGAGTCATTGTGATTCAAACGCAGAACAATTTATATGCAGACTTTTAAACCGCTTTTCCCCAGCACATTTATGACTTTTCATATTAATGGTAGCTATTATAATTGGCTAACCTTTATAAACTGGAATAATGTTGTTCGTCGGAGTCCACTTGTTGAAAAATGAGCAGGGTGATATTCTCATGTGGGTGGTAATACATTCATATTTTAATAGCGTGACTAATATCTGTGACAGTTTCTGCCTTGCTCAGTCTGAAGGAACACTTCACTTGGAAATAGGCTTATTTTACTACAACTCTAGAGTTAAACAGTTTAATCTGACCATTTTAACCCACTCAGCTAATCTAAGGGTCTGGCGGGAGTACTTTTAGCTTAGCTTAGCATACAGATGTCCCTATTTGAATTTGTTCCCTTTGCCACGGGGAACAACTTTGTCGCAGGGAACCGCCACAGTAGTTGTTGCGCCTATTAGTGCGCTGCTCGAACAATTCATACGTGATTTATCCATTTTTACGAGCAAAATTTTCGTGATTTAAGAGCATTCGCCAAAACTATATATTTTTACGTCAAAAACACAGAACATAACTGAATAGCGTGTTGGTTGCTGAGCCAGAGCGACAGCAGCAGAGAATTCCGCGTGGCCCTAATCATCTTAGGTGGACCGTGGAGTTTATGTTACCCGCACACAGAGACTAACTGTGAATATTTCAGTTTAATTTTATTTAGGCTACACAATATCACGGCAACTTCTTTTGGTGCTAAATAGCAGACTTGTTTTGAAGCACTTCACCCGAAATATTATTTGTTATTCTTTATTCCTTTAAATAATGCAGCCTAGATGTCTTTTTAATGATTGATGAAGGACTTATAATGCTTTGTTTCATTGTTTATCTTTATTTACAAGTAGCAGAGTATTTACAGCTAATGTATAAGCTATTTCAGTCCATTCCTATCCCGTCCCTTGTTGCCACCTGGTGGCATAGTCGCAAACTGCGGTCATACCTAAAAAAACACGTTCTTTTTCCTTTAGAGCGGCGGCGGTACATGCTGCGGCGGTAATGGTCATATTAAACTCTCCCCTACTGTATATCATTAAGTTCGTCGGAGTCCACTTGTTGAAAAATGAGCAGGGTGATATTTGCATTTGGGTGGTAATACATTCATATTTTAATGGCGTGACTAATATCTGTGACAGTTTCTGCCTTGCTCACTTTGAAGGAACACTTCACTTGGAAATAGGCTTATTTTACTACAACTCTAGAGTTAAACAGTTTAGTCTGACCATTTTTTACCCACTCAGCTAATCTAGGGGTCTGGCAGGAGCACTTTTAGCTAAGCTTAGCATACAGATGTCATTACACATCCATTACACAATGGTGGTGGATGAGGGGATTCCCCCCAATGTATAAAGCGATTTAAGTGTCTAGAAAAGCGTTACAGTATACAAATATAAGGAATTATTATTATTACTACAATTCTTTTTTTAAAATGTGTGAGCGAGATGCTAATGGTCTTTAAAACCGGTTTAAAGACTTATGCTAAGCTAAAGCTAAAAGTGCTCCCACCAGACCTGAAGATCAGCTAAATGTGTTCAAACACAGGGAAACTCAACTGTTTAACTCTTGGTGACTAGTAAAATTAGCATATTTCCTAAAAAAATGTGTAGTATTTCTTTAACAACCCAGTTTTGGATAAAATTGGTTTAAAAATGTCTTGAATTCCATCAGACAAACACTTTAATGACCATGAAAGTTTAATGCTGCATTCACACCAGACGTGGATGAAGCGTCAGGTGCAAGTGGTTTACATGTTAAGTCAAGTCATCTGGCGGTCCAAATTCGAGTTGGAAAATCTGAACTTTAGCGAACATTCACGCCTCGTTAACCAATCAGGAGCTTGTTCTTGTAGGGCGTGATTATGACATTGTGCATGTTGCTGGTGTCCCGAAAGGGAATCCTCTTGTCGACACTTAACAACAGCTCATCAAACTGAACTCGGCTCAGTCGGAAGCACTGCTGAAAGCCTCCATCATCCAGGTATGATTTCTGAAGGAATTGATGAACTCACAGGGCTGGGTGCACCTCTGAAAGGATCTAGTGGACTCAGACACGGCGCCAAACAAATCGACGCTGTTTTTCAGCCTTCCTAAAGCACATAAAGCACAGCTACGCTCTCAATAAAATCCATGTTAGCCATTTAGCAACGAAACTAGTCACCATGGAGACAGAAGCCCCGCCCCTGACGTGAATTTGCATGGATTGTGAAGTGAATATGACGCACGAATAAAGCAAGTAAACTCAATATGATCACACATCAGTTTATTCGTGCATGTGTTGTCTGGTTTAGTCAAAGCATAAAAACTTTAATTAGAAAATAAGAACGTTTAAAATGAGAATTCACACAACCATGGATGCATTTAAGAACGAATCGCTGAAGAGCTATTTAAGGAAACCGAACCAGCAACCTTTATACTAAAGAGTAAATTAAAGCACATCAATTTTTTTTAGCTATCACTGTGTTACATCTATTCCAGCTACATCTGCTCTTCCAACTGTGCATACTGTAAGTATCTGGACTTGCCTGAATGCCTCAGAAGAAAGAGCATCACCACCGACTCAAGACAGCTTTTCTTTCCTGATAGCTTGAAAAATTCAACATTGCATAGCTGTCAGCTACAATTTTCAGTGGGAACATCCAGCATCCAGGAAAAAGCTCAACCACATGGCGCACATCACAACCACACAGAAATTCACAGTTCTTTCACTGTATTTTTGTTCTCATATTTTTCAAGGGAACTGCTTCTCACCATCTCTGTAGAACTAAAAGCTTAAAGTGGACCTATTATGCTCCTTTTCACAAGATGCTAAATGAGTCTCTGATGTCCCCAGAGTGTGTATGTGGAGTTTCAGCTCAAAACACCACACAAATAATGTTTTATAACTCTTTGAAGCTGCAGCTTTTAGGCTTTAATCCTAATTGTGCGTTTTGGTGACTGTTGCTTTAAATTCAAATGAGATCATTTAAAAGAAGGCGGAGCTATGCAGCAGAATCAAAACTCTATTATCGGACAGCTGTAGGGCTGTTTATACTCATGAGGGCGGGGCTTTACCCCTCTGATGACACGTACAAAGGGAGAATGCCAATCAAAGTGTTTCTGCAGACTGTTTTTATGAAGTTTTATTGATTATAAAAAATAGAATTAATTAATTTTTACCATAAGAAGATGGATATTTTAACACACTGATGCCACACAATTGTGCTTAAACCCCTTATTAAATGTTTTTTTGCAAAATAGGTCCCCTTCAAATGGTTTCTTTCATTGCTTGTGTGTGGGTTTGAGAGAAGAAAAAAAGAGAAAATGCCAATAACCAGCACCCACCTCAACACTGTCAGGAGAAATGGCTCCATCAACAGGGACATCGGTCCCGTCCTCCTCCTCAAACGTTGCACGCTTGTAGTTAGACATCTGAATGGAAGAAGGGAAAGCATATATAAGTATGTTTAATCATTACTCACATTTCTGTGATTCTCAGAAATGGAACATATCGTTGTGCTGCTCTGTTTGCATATGGTGTAGTCATGCCGGAAATGTACAGCTAAAGTCAATTATTATTCACCCTCCTGTGATTTTTTTTTTCTTTTAATTTTTAAAATATTTCCCAAATGTGTAACAGAGCAAATAATTTTTCACAGTATTTCCGATAATATTTTTTCTTCTGAAGAAAGTCTGATTTGGTTTATTTCGGCTAAAATAAAAGCAGTTTAATTTTTTTAAAAACATTTTAAGGTTAATATTATTAACCCCCATTAAAGGGCACCTATTACCCCTTTTTCAAGTTTGGCAAGCTTTCCCAGGAGAGAGCTCTGAGCCCAAAAGGTCCTTGAGCCCTGGGCTCCCTCCCGTTTGCAGGGCGAGAGGGGAGCCTTGAGCTCAGGTAGATCTCGAGAACTCCCCCTTGATAAGAACTGATGTCTAAAAATTGAATGCTATGAAAATATATGCTGCAGGATGAGAGATTGACTGTAGTGCTAAATTTAGATTGATCAATTCACTTGTTGTGCATGTTTTTGGAATGCGGGAGGAAACCGGAGGACCCGGGGAAAAGCCATGCGAGCACGGGAAGAACATGCAAACTACGCACAGAAACGACCACCGGCCTGTTAAAAGACTTGACCCGGTGACGTTCTTGCTGTGAGGCAACAGTGCTAACCACTGGGCCACCGTGCCGCCCTATGGAGGCAAAGGTGAAGAGGTAGGGGTGGAAGGGGGGATTCTTTAAATCCAAGATGACTGTAGTGAAAAACCCTGGCTCTTTATAATGGGTTAGGAATGGCCTGATTGGTGGATCATGCATGCTAATGCAGAACCAGCCGTGTTCAATCATAATCACGTGATCCTTTCGAAATAAGTTTATGAATAAACTTCACTTTGTCTCTCCAGAATCCAAATCTCAAAATCCTGATCAGGGGTGCGTTTCCTCAACAAGACGCAACTCGCGGCTGAACAATCATAGTATGATGCATCTTTTAGGAAAAGAACGATGTAGTGACAATTGTTTCCTAAAAAATGTAGTTTCTCTGTCGCAGACCCATAGTTTGAACCATGTTGGTTATAATGTAAAAGCCCATAATGATGCTCTAAACGGCTTCTTTAGAGCTTCTTTAGGGTAGAACTCCATCATTTCTTTGTGCAAATTATATTGTTTTACATGTACACGCATTTACAAAAAAATCCAACATTAGTTTTGGTTAAAACATGCACTCGCTTTTCATATTAATTGAAATATATGTAAATGGCACATATAGAGCCTGTGTTTGCTTTACTAATATTATTGAGAACACTCCATAGTCTATCCTTAAACATAAAATTACTTACAAAAGCTAACACATATTCTAATATCATATATAAATGATATAAATAAATCATTAATGAGGCTATTTTTTTAAGAAATGAAATTTATATTTCTTGTATACGAGGAAATGAAAAAATCCTACTTTAATAATAGTATTAATAATATTAATGATGATAATGATGATGGTTATTATTAATATTATTATTAGTAGTAGTAGTAGTAGTAGTATTAAGTAGGATATTGTTAATACATTTTTTATTTATTTTTTTTTTTATTTTTTTATTTTTGAAAAGTCTACTTTTACAATTTGACACATGCAAACCACTGCAGAAGTGTTTTAACCAGCAGGCCCATGTCATACACAGTACAGATACTTAATAAATAACCTACTATAAATTTAAATGATTAGCGTATGTTATGTTTTTTGTTTTCACAAGCTTTGGAGACGTAACATAAATTCCGCTTTTAAATAATAGGTCACCTATTGCTTTCGTCATGAGACACGGCTGTGTTCATAATGACATCAATGTTTACAAAGTGCACTGCGAAGGGAGCACAATTGTAAACATGAAGATCGCTAAAACTGAACAGTAAAAATACTTTGAAAGCAAATTACACCCACGAGAGTTGACCTTAATGCTTTTTTATTTCAAATCATTCCAAGTTTAAATGTTAGAATGTTCTAAATGAACAGGGCATAGGGGGGATAAGTGGGAATAGAACACAGCCAGGAACTATGTTTCTAACTACATCTCAAGAGGTGTAGTTGCAAGTAAACAAGTTTGCAATGCAGTTTGCAATTACTCATTGGAACGACGGATTGGAAACGGCAAATCAACAAGCTATGTTTGTACTGACGGAACTTGCGACCTTAGTTGGCTAATGATGCTTTTCGGAAACACACCCCAGATTATTTATTATTGAGAAGTCTTTCTCAATCTGGGAAATTTGAGCTGTTAAGGCACTGTGATTGTTTTTGTTGCCTGTGCCTTTAATGCAAATGAGCTAGTTCTTCCCGCCCACTGTTCCCATGTGAATGTCAGTGCGTGTAATCTTCACGTAGATAAACAGCACAGTGACAGACAAGAATGAAGCAGAGCTCCCTAACTACAATAAGAACTTTATCAATGGTTATTTGAAGTATTTGTTATGAATTTAATTCAAGCCTTTCTGCAACGATGAGTTGCACACAGTGTCATAATAAAGTTTTGGCGCACACACACACACACGCACGTTTAGCTTTGCATTGTTTATACACGACAAATGTGACAGAATACACATTTATACACACTGCTGTATGGATATGCATTATGTTAATGTATAAAATAAACCTGATTTAAGTCCACAAACCGGATTTGAAGCGTCTTCCTTTATAATTGTACTGACACTATGTGGCTGTGGTTATGAACTGCAGCGCTTTTACAGTTTTTATTACAAACATGCACTGTTTTAGAAACGTTTTGAACTTGTAAAACTCATTCTTGATCACATCTGATGATGACGGATGATCACAGAGAGCTGAACAGATCTTTTAATCCCAGTTGCTTCGCGTCCTGTCTGTTCCTGCAGACTCTAATAACAGCATTTTCATTATTGGAGGACGTAACCTTCGAAATACCACAATAAATGTGTCCACTGGGTCAATCTTTAATACACAATATCCACAGAAGTGATGTGAAAAGCAGCAGACAAAGACAAATGAGCCCTTTTACAGTTTTAAGAGACCTTCCTAAGCAGTCAGGCACTGGGAGAAAGAAATATCTGTGATTTATACGTAGCTAGTGCGAGAGTGGCTGTGAATTGAGAAAGATGCGGCGCTGAATCAAAATCGACCCTGTTTACTTTCTTTATATTAACTTCCCACAGAATCTATGTGGAGAAAAAAAAAAACAATCTGAAAGAGCTCGCGGCGAGCTGAGCCGAGGACAAGAGATACTGCAAGAGAGTGTGAAATGGAGATGAATGTTGGGGAGGGGGGGGGGGGGTTCCTTGTTTCCTCACCCCATCTGGGACGCCGGAGAGGAATTTATACAAACACACACACACACGTAAACATACACGTCTCTCAGTGTTCACAACTGAAGAGGTGGCTAATCTTCACCCCAGGGGAGCACTTTGCCGTGTTGTAAGCGTTACCCTACAGAGGACAGCAAGTCGTAGTTAAACCTAACCTTATTTACGCTGTCTATTGATATCTCCCTGCCTGCGCTGACAGCCATGTAGACAGCAGACGCAGCGGCCTAGAGCAAAACCTCCCACCCAGGTTAACAAGAGCAGACTAAACAAGACAAGCGGAGAGAATCTTTCTCTCTCTCTCAGACACATTGACTTAATGAGCCTAAATGAGGGCATATGGTAGACCTGAGGAACTGTGAAGACTGGTGTAATGATGCTGAAAATTCAGCTTAGCCTTCAAATTAAATCTTAAATGTTTTCAAATAAAAAAAAAAACTGTTAAAACTGTTGTTTTAAATTGCATTACTGCGCTCCACAACATTGGTACAAATTAAAAGAGCAGTGTTTGTAATCAAATAAATGCAGGTTTCATAATTATAGGTTTCAAACTTTTAAAATTCGCACTCTATAACATCAGAAAGATAAGACCCTTCTTATCTGAACATGCAGCTCAACTCCTTGCTCAAGCTCTTGTTCTCTCCAAACTGGACTACTGCAACTCTCTAGCGAGGCTTCCAGCTAAGTGGAAATGGCTGGAAACCAGCCTGGAAGTGGCCAAAACCCCTCTAAAACCAGCCTGGTCGACCAGCTAAAACCAGCCAACCAGCCTAGGCTGGTTTAAGCTGGATTTTTTAGCAGGGAGGACACTGACACAACACCATATTGGACTTGTTGCTGGTAACAAAAAGGTCTGTATGATCCTTTTCTTTTTTGGTTCTGAGCACACGGTGTCCATTTCTCCCAAAAATAGCTGAAATACTGATTCATCAAACCACAGATCACAGTTTCCACTGTGTGATGGTCCATCCCAGATGCCTACGAGCCTAGAGAAGTGGACAGCACTTCTGGACACTGTTAACTTAGGGCTTCCTTTTGACACAGTACACAGTAGTGATGTGACGTTGTGCGCCGAGGCTTCGAAGCACCTCATGGGTTAGTAAAGTGTATAGCGAGAGATTAGGCGTTGATTACATACATTTCTACTGTTTCAAAGCACTGCACCGGTCCCACACACCAGTAATTAAACTAAAATACAAAAAAAAAAAGGTTTTGAACCTTACTAAAGTGTAGTAGCGTATTTATTTTTAACTATCTTTAAAGAAAACCACTGCATATGGTAGTATTGTGTTTACCAGAGACCAGCTGGCGCATGCAATCCAAAGGCATCGATCACATCCCTGCTAATAAATCCAGCTTAAACCAGCCTAGGCTGGTTTAAGCTGGATTTTTCAGCAGGGATAGCTTCCTCCTAGAGCGTTCGCCTCCCATGCAGGTATCGCTGGTTCGATCCCTGCTTGGAACAGGACTGGTTGTATTATGATAAACCTTTGAATACCTTGGATTTTACTACAGTCATCAGTGGTGTAATGTAATATATCTTATGTCTAAAAACTACAGTAATTGAGTAATTTGTTTATATTGCTGTTGTTGTATTACT